AGGCTTCTGTAAGAAAACCCAAAATAGGAGAGATTCTGTTCTAAGTCTCGATTCCCTTCACACCACAGGCATTCAACTTTTATTCCACGTACTTACCGAGCATCTACTCTGTCAGGCACTGTACTGACTATTGGGAATAAAATATGGTAAAAAATGGACACTGTCCCTACCTTCATGAAGGTTACATTCCAGTAGGGGGAGGTAGATATTAATCAGATAGTGACACGTAGGCATGTATAATACAGATTGAGTTCAACTACTGAAAAGGAAAAGAATTTGGTTCTTTGTGGACACATAGCAAAGGAACCTGCACATGAAGGGAGGTTGTACAGGAGTCCAGGAAGTCTTCCTGGAAGGAATGATGCTTTGAATTAAGATCTGAAGGAAGAGTGGACATTTGCTAAGTAAAGCGGGTAGAGGAAAGAGGTTAGAGAGCATTCCAGAGAGAAGGCAGAAATTCTGTGATGTGTGCACAGATGGTGCATTCAAACAACAAAAAGCTGCCCCGGCTAGAGCAGAAAGAGCCAGGGGGCAAGTAGGGGACAAACCTACTCTCAGTGCACTTCACGGCTGGATAGGTTCCTGGGCAGAGTGGAAGGCCAAGTGTGGATCCTTTAAGATAGAGATTAGACAAGAGGGAGGTCAGCTATTGGCATGGGTGCCCACAATGGAAGCTTATGTGGATCCCCAACAGAAGCCTTTGTGTGCTCCAAACTGGACATTTTTGTCAGTCACAATGGCCTCATCTAACTAACGAATGCCAAACGAATACCTTCCACAAAAGGTGTTGCAGAGTGTATAGCCACCTCATTATGCAAATGGCCACATAGTTCATCCTCTGAGACCTTCCAGGCAAATGCTGTCCCACCTCTATTGGGAAACCACATTCTTCCCTCTTTCCTCACCTTCATCAACAAGTGGCATTACAAGGTAGGGAACACACAGGAAGCATGCCAACAGGAAGAGACACCCCTCCCCCGCACCCCTCCACCCGAGCCTCTGGTCCTGCAGTTTGCAAAACTGCGGTAAGAGGGTGGAGGGGGCAGTGCAGAGGGGGATAAATGGACCACTCTTGTCTCCCCCAAAGAAATCTGAAGTGGAAGCTCATCGCGTAAAATGAATAAAGCAGCAGCATTGCTCTCCTTGGAGAGGACCGGAGCCTTCATCCCCTTCCTCTGTCCCCTAAGTTGCTCCCAAGATCGATTTTACTCACATTAACAAAATAGAAAGTTGACAGTTCATGCAATGGGCAACTTTTCTAGTAAGAAGACATTTCTAGGAGCAACTGAATTTTTGAAGGAAAGATAAGAAAACTTGGCAGTGGAGCCTTGTGTACCAATCCTCTGCATGGGATGCTTCTGTAGTTCCTCATTAACTCAAAAGAAAAGCCAGACTTCATCCCGTGCCTGTGAGGCCCCCTCTGATCTAGTCCCTCCCTGCCGTTGGGGCTTCAGACTGTGCTATGACTCCCTGCATCGTTATAGTTCAGTTTACTGTCCACCCAGAGTTTGTGCACTGGAATGCTCTTACCTCATGTCTACACGGCTGGCTCCCTCACTTCATTCCATTCTCTGCGCAAGAATCTCCCCCTCAAACATATTTTCCCTAACCACTGTCTCAAGTAGAGCTTTCCCCACTCCCAGTCACTCTCTAGCTTGTCTGTTGTGTTTTATCACAATCTGAAATTTTCTGATTTGTTTACATGTTTTTGTTTGTCTCTGTCAACTAGAATGTAAATTCCATGAGTGCAAAGATCTAGTCTAACTTGTTCAACATCGTATCTGCAAAGCCTAGAGCAGGGCCTGGTGCTCAATAAATATTTGTTGGATGAATGGATGTAATAGCATTCTCATACTTGGAGGATAGTCATGTGGATAAATAAATTCATTTATTCATCTAAGAAACATATGGGATAACAAATAGTTGTTCATTTAATAAGTAATTATTGAGAAACTATTATATTCTAGGCACTGGGACTAAGAGGCAAAAATAGAGAAGGCGTCCCTACCCCTAAGAACATCATAGCATTGTGGTCAAGGTGGAGAGAATCAAGAGACATGAGGACTAATTGGTCATGGGAAGTGAAGAAGAGAGAGAAAATGAGCCCCAGGTTTTAGGCTTGGGCAGATGAGGAGGTGATTGTGCCATTCTCTGAGCAAAGGAACCACAGGTGAGAAGGGAAGAAGGTCAGCTTTAGAAATGTCGAGCTGTGGAATATCCAAGTGGAGATGATCTAGCAAGGAGGTGGATGTCCAAGTCTGGAGCTTGAGAGAAGTCTGGCTGGAAATACAAAGTTGATGAATCAAAGGCAATGCTTGTAGTCTTGGGAGCAGGTAAGACAAACCAGGTAGAATAAAGTGAGGAGAAAAAGGAAACAAAGTGAGACTTTGGTGAAAACCAACATTTAAGGGCTAGTTAGAAGTCAAACCTGCTAAAGAGTCTAAAAAGGAGAAACTAAAATGATGGAAAACAGCAGAACTCATTGTCATAGTAGCTGAGGAAGGACAGTGCCTAATAGAGTAGAGATGCCATAATAAGATGAGGACTGGAAGGTGTCCATTGAACTTGGTGACAGAGCAGTCCTTGGTAATGTTGGCCATTGCCGTTGCCATGATGCGATATAGCTAGAATGGTATTTCTGTTTGCTGTGGAGAGAAGTAAAGACTGGGAAATGGAGAAAGATGTAGAAAACTCTTGTAAGGAGCTCATCGCTGAAAGGAGGAGAGAGGAGTGCCTGAAGATACTGGCTAGAGAAACACATTCATTGATGCTCTGGAGCAGAACAAAGATCATGAAAGGAAACTACTGGGAGGCAGCCTTGGTGTAATACAAAATCAAACTTTCTAACCATTATCATTGTTCAAAAATGGATTGCGCTGCCTCCAGTTCTGTGCTGAGCTCTTGACTACTGGAGGTATCAAAGAATAGCCTGAATGTTATATTAAGAAAAGAATAAGATGTTAAATCAGTAATCTTGGCTTCTACCATAAGAATCTAGAGAAAGAAAAGTAAATTACACACAAAGCAGGCAGAAGGAAGGACATAATAAAGATAACAACAGAAATCAGTAACATTGAAAACAGAAAAACTACAGAGAAATATGAATGAAACTAAAAGCTAGTTCTTTGGAAAAAATCAATAAAATTGATAAACCTCTAGCCAGACTGACCAAGAACAAAAAGAGAAGACACAAATTACCAATATCAGGAATGAAATAGGGACATCACTATAGATCCCACAGGCATCAAAAGGATAATAAAGATGTACGACAGACAACTCTGCCCATAAATTGAATGAAAGGAGCCAAGTCCTTGAGACACACAAACCCTCAAAACTCACTCAGGAAAAGAATCAATGACCTGAATGGTCCTAATTCAGTACCATTAGTACCTAATGGTACTAAAGAAATTTTATACCTAGTTAAGGAAAAAAAACTTCCCACAAAGAAAATTCTAGAGGCAGATGATTTCACTTGTGAATTCTACCCAACCTTTAAGGAAGAAATAATGCCAATTCTGCACAATCTCTTCAGAAAATAGGAAAGAGGGAAACTCTTCCCAGCTTATTTTATGAGGTCAGCTTTATGTTAATACCAAAACCAAAAACATTTGTAAACTGCAAATCAATGTCTCTAATGAAGATAGAGTAAAAATCCTCAACAACAACAAAAAAATGGCAAATAAAATCCAGCGGTACTTAAAAAGGATAACACCTCACAACCAAGTGAGGTTTATCCGAAGAATGCAAGCCTGGTTCAACATTCAAAACTCAATCAGTAGAACTCACCATATTAATAAAGAATAGCCTGAATGATTAATAAGCCAAGTCTTCAAGTCATGTGATGCGTCAAAGGATCTAACTTAGAGCAATGAGCAACAGGTTATTTGATTCACTGGTTAGGAGAGAAACAGCTTAATTAAGAAAGGGAAAATTTCCCCTCTAGCTAAGAGACTGAGAATTACAGTCAGTCAGATTAGGCAGGTCCCTCTGAAGAGTTCGCTTGTCCTCCCTCTGCTGTCCTCACTTCAAGGACTGATCTTTACTACAGAAAGGAGGTTGGGGGTTCCCTTCTTGAGCAGCTGGCCTATAGATTTCTAGGATGATCATGTTCCACCCATGCCTGGGTAAAGAAAGCCAAGGACACTCACAATCCTGATTTTTCTCAGATGCTTAGGATCCAAGAGTGTCAGAGTTGAATGAAGCCTGGATCTTACCTAATACAAATCCCAACAATTTAAAGAAGAAAAACCGAAACCCAGTAGAGGGTGGCTTCTCTAGGTCCCTGTCCCTAACCCTCTATTCTGACATCCAGTGATCATGAGCTGGTCCTGGGGCAGTAAGCCCATTAGACCATAGCCTCTAGGCCTGTCCTCCCCCAGACTTTTCCCTCCAACCTTGTGATCTATGTTTGCTTTTAAGCTTGCTTTTATGCATGACAAGTCACCATCAAAACCTGTCTGTCCTGGGTTTTAGTCCCTATTCTCTCACTAGTTGGAGTCTTGTGTGGAGAAAACCAACTAGACATGAGCCTTTTCACAGAATCATCCCGGATTAGTGGGCTGGAGGATTGGCCCAGCTACCTGCTTTGAACCCACAGGCCTCACAGTCAACCAGATAAACACAGTCTGGGGCCCATCATCTCTCTTTGATCCCACTGCCACTCATTTGAATTCTTCAACAAATTTCTTGTAAGATTATAATGAAAATGTATTATACTCATTATGTGCCAGGGACTACCCTAGGAGGCTAGGCATTCTCTCACTTAATCCTCACAACAACCCATTAAAATAGGTACTATTCTCATCCTCATTTTGCACATAAATAAATAGACTCAGAGAGGTTAAGCAACTTGCCTAAGATCCTTCAGCCAGTGAGTGAAAGAGCCAGGATTTGAACCCAGGTCTGGCTGATTCCAGTGCTCAAGTTTTTAGGAGTGAAAATTCTTCCTGGTTTAAAATGAAATTGATTTTCTCTTTGTTTCCCCCCATCTCTGTTTGCAGTCTCAGGAGGAAGTCTGTGATTTGCTCCATGCTGCACCCTTCCAGAACATCCTGCCTCGAGTCTACATCAAAGGTAAGAAAGCGCTAACAGCAGCTCAGTAGCCAACTTGAGTTTGAACCTCATGCTCACTTAGTCCCTGTAAACTCAGATCTCCAGTCAAAAAGGGGGAAGGTTAAAACTTTGGGCAGCCATTGAATAGTCAGAGAATGGTAGAATTGGAAATGATACTCCCAGCCTTGTTCCTTGCTCCTTCTAGAACATCCCTAGTTTGTTTCTGTCTAGCCTTGGTTTAAGTCCTTTGAGTGATGGGGAACTCACCACCCCATGAGGTAGATGATTCCATTGTTGGACAGAGATAATAGAACATTTTTTCCTTGTAGTGAGTCTTGATCACACTTGCCAGCTCCAAGAGAAGGTTCTACACACTTCTTCCAAGTTTTAGAATAATACATCACCAGGTCCTCTGAGAGCGTTTCCTCCCGCAGCTGCCCTGGTGTGACCTGAATCTCATTTTCTGCCTCCTACTACTTTTGCAGAGGGGGAGCGTCTGGAGGTCCGGATGAAACGCCTGGAAGCCAAGTACGCCCCGCTTCACCTGGTCCCTCTGATCGAGCGGCTGGGGACCCCTCAGGTAGGATCCTTCTACCGTGGACTCTGAGAGCCAAAGGGAACTTCAGAGGGAGAGCATTTGGTCCAACACCCTCATTTTACAGGTGGGGAAACTGAGGCCCAGGGAGAGGTAGACAAAGAATGTCTGACACCACAAAGTCTGTCAGTGGCAGGGGCAGGTCTGGAATGAGATTTGCTGACTCTCAGGCCTGAGTTGTTTCTTCTACACCCTGTATCATCCTTCTTGCCACGAAAGGAGGAAGTCAGACAAGTATCTATTATTTCCCTGTTAGGTATCAAGAATTCCGCTAAGTTATCTCTCAGAATTACAACTCCACATCCTGTGAGCCAGCAGTTCACTTCTGGATATCTTTGCTAGAAAAACACTTACAGGAAGACAAGATGTTTACTGTAGCATTGTTTGTTAAAGCAAAAACTGGAAACAACCTAAATGTCAACCAGTAAAGGATCGACTAAATAAAATGTGGTAAAGTCATCTAAATGCTAAGTACTCGCCATATAATAATGAAAAGGAAAAATTAGATCTTGATGCATCCCTGTGGATAAATCATAACACGTGGGTAGGTAAATAAAGCAAGTTGCCCTCCAATTCATAGAGGATGGTGCCATTTTTATTTTTTTAAAACACACGCAACAAAACCACATAAGTAAAACTTTTCCTAGAAAATCATACACACCTCATTCATAATGGTGGCGACCTCTGAAGAGAGATGAAAGAGACAGAGTTGGGGGGATCAAAGGAGACTTCAGCTTTATCTGTAATGTTTAATGTTTTCAAAGGTGAATGAGCTCATGTGTTAATTCTGTAATTAAAGCTAATTTTTACAAACCTGTGCCAGTCGCTGTGAACGTGGAGATGAGTAAGACAGGACCCCTGTCTTCAGAGAACTCAGAGACTCTGCAGGGAGTCAGGAAAGAAGAGAAATGGGTAGAAAGAGAGACAACAAAAAGAATGTGGTTCTCCTGTAAGTTGCTTTAAGCAAGCTGACATTTTGGGGGCACCGGGGGAAGGATTCAGGAAGAAGAGAAACAGGGCACTGTGGTGAAACAAGCCAAGCTGGTTTGTTTTGTTCCCCAAACAAGAGGTTTAGCATTCAAATCCATTCTTGGACTTGCATTCCAGCCGTCCTCTCTCCTGTTATCACAAAAGCGTATGAGTCTGAGGACTCACATCCTCAGCAGAGGGCAGAAGGCAGCCTCTTCTCTGGGAAAACGTGGCAAGTATTTGGAGCACATTGCAGAACGCGATCTGCGAGGTGTCAAGCGGATGACCAACCCTAGCAGACCCCCTGCGTGCCACCCACTTCCTACTGAAAACGATGACTAGACGTTGAGTGGCATTTGGGTTCTTTGAGTCACCGTAGACAGAATTCAGATGCTGTGGAGTGCACACATTTTCTTTTTTGGTCTTCAGGGGCTGAACAGAGGAGGTCCTCTAAAGATTTCCTTTTAGGGAGAAATCCGCCAAGCCAGCAACATATAAATGTGTCTGCTCCACGGTTGGTGTCATCCTGCAAGAATCTGGCCTCTCGCACCCAGGGTTTGGCATGTGTTTCCAGTTAGAACACTGAATTCCTCCCCTGTTCTGGTGAACCCCATTTTTCCTTGGAACTGATAGAAATCTCAATTTATCAAGTGCTGAGTATTTAACAAACAAAAGCCTAGACATTCTGCCGGAGAGGAAATGCCACTTTTGTAAATCTCCCAGCCCTCAAGGAATACTAGTCTAAAACGTAGATGTCCCAGAGACCAAAGAAAAGTTAACAAATTATTGGTTTCTAAGCTAGCTGGGGTTCAGTGGACTAACGTAACATCTCAGTCAGTGACAGTGTGAGTCTGCTGCACATTGAAAGCCAGGAGGCGTTCGCAGTATTGCATTGTTTGCATTTGTTTCTGGGACAGATTGAGGTGGCCAATTTTGTTTTCCAGTGCTGTCATGGAAAGAACATTCTGGCAGGGGTCCTTGTTCCCCCTTCACCCCTGAATTGTCACATAATCTAGTGCTAGACAATTCATGTCTCACTCTCAGTTCTCTCATCTATAAAATGGGCTAATCACTGTTTTGCATCCTTAGTTGGGGTACCTTACATGGTCGTTAAGATGAACAAATAAGTACAAGACTTCCAGAAAACACACGGAATTGTATAAAGAAGGAGTATCCAGATACCAGCCTTCTCCAAAGGGTACTCCCTGTATCCGAGTCCTCCAGGCAGAAATTGATTTTCGCAGATGCTTTTTCTGTTCCTTTGTTAACTCAGAGAAGAAGGACAGAGACAATTCATAGAGGAGAAGTCGCTCTGTAAATTAGCTCCCTTGGGAGACCTCCGTCTGGGCTGCTGACCCCATGAGTGCCTTGGGACCTCCCATTCTCGGAAAGCAACTCTCATTAGCTTTGTCCTTAGATTTGGAGACCTTACTTTGACCTTAGATTTGACTGTCTATCTCTCTATCTTACGTGGCAGATAGCTTTGGAGCCCTCTGCTCCTAGACATTTTTCTTCACAAGGCAGACAGTAATGTGTTCTGATGTGCTCGTCCAGCCAGCTGATTATTAGAGATGCAGTAACCAGAAGCCGGTTGAGAAGCCAGTGTAAATTATTAGTGGAGATCATTTACAAAGGTCAGAGGACTTCTAATTGGAGGGAAATAAGTCTGTAAGTCAATGGCAAATTTGGAAAGAGTGACATACACTCACTGTTGCACATTCAACTGTACAGAAGTATTTAAAGTACAAGGTGAGCGTCCCACCTGATTCTCCAAGCCCGTCTGCTCTCACAGCTGCTGTTAGTCCTTCTAAAATGGTTTACACACACACCCCATGGACAGTTTTGTGTGTCTGTTTGTGGGATTCTGTGTTGTTGATATCTTTTAACAGGGTTGCAGTATACATCCTTTTCTGCAGCTTACTCTATTCGCTTAACAGTTTAGCCAACAGATCTAGACTAACAGGATTCAAATCCCAGCTTTACCACCGGTGGCTGCCTCTGAACCTTAATTTCTTCATCTGTAAAATGGGGATGATAATGACCCCTACTTCATGGGGTTGATGTGAGGAATAAATGGAGTCAATACTTTTATCGAGTACTGAGAACAGAGCCTAGTGTATTACACACACTCAGTGAGTATGAGCTAGGGCAGTAATAATAGTACAGTAGTAATAATCCTGGCAGTAGTCTATCTCAGTCTTTTCAGTGGCCTCTAGTATTTCGTTACATGCATAGATTGAAATTTTTTTAAACTATTCCTCCATGAATGGTATTTACTTCCCATTAGGTTTTACTTAGCACAAGACTTCACTGCTGCTGCACTCAGGTTTGTAAAGTTAGCGCCCTGCTCTGGGCAGACATCAGTCCTGGTGAACGGACTCCAGGTGCAGCCAGCTCCAGGGTTCAGGAATCTCTGGTGAGGGGTAGAAGACGGGGTCTGAGATGAGGATAGAAGGTTTACGCACCCTTCCGTTCCCAGCAAATCGCCATCGCTCGAGAGGGTGACCTGCTGACCAAGGAGCGGCTATGCTGCGGCCTGTCCATGTTCGAGGTCATCCTGACCCGCATCCGGAGCTACCTGCAGGACCCCATCTGGCGGGGCCCACCGCCCACCAACGGCGTCATGCACGTTGACGAGTGCGTGGAGTTCCACCGGCTCTGGAGTGCCATGCAGTTTGTCTACTGCATCCCCGTGGGGACCAACGAGTTCACAGCTGAGTGAGTACCCCCAGGGAAGGCAAGGTCACCCCTCAACCTGCTTCTCCCCCAAGAGGCATCAGGCCACCAGAGCTCAGCCAGAGAGGTGGACGGGGTGGGCTGCCCAACTACTGTTTATTGAGCATGTACTGCATGTCGGTCACTGCTGGGTGCTGGACATGCACCAATGCTGAGCAAAAGTAGACGGTTTCTGACTTTGTGGGGTTTACGGGGCCAGGGGGAGACAAAAAACAGATGTAAGGTGCACCCTTTGAGGCTGCTTTGCAGGAAGGGCAGGAAGGGCGACCGATGCCCAAGAAGAGAGATGAGTGGGTTAAAGGAATTTAATTCACAGACTAGAATTGAGCTTGAACATTGCCTGGAATTCAGATCCTAGAGGGGAGAAGGGGACATTCCAGGAAAAGCAACAAGTCGTTGGAGGCAGAGATGGAGCATGTGCCTGTGAGTGTGTGCATCAGGGCCTCTCTTTCTGAGACTGGAAGCTGAGCAGGTTAAGAGGGCAGGAGGGAGCTCTGGTGAGGGTTTGTCAGTAGGAACCTCACTGTCCACCTCACCCCCCACAAGACTCCAGGCTTCATAGAACAATAAAGGCTTCCCTGGCGGAGGTCAGGCCCTAACTTGCCCATGGTGGCCTGGCTCGTGAGGCCTCTCCTCCTGATAAACAGGAGGCCTTTAAGAGTAACCCAGTCCTGTCCCCAGAGAAGACAGACACAGAGCCCAGTTCTTCCTTCGCTCACCCAGCTACGCCTCAAGAACAGAGTGGTAAAGGGGGCACACACGGCCTGCCCTCCAGGAGCCCAGAGCTCTAGAGAGGAAGCACATGAGGGCCAGAGAAGGCTTCTTGGAGGGACGGCGCTGGGACTGGGATGGGAGGCTGTGTCCAGAGCAGCTGCTGGGGCCGCCCTTTCAGCCCCAGTAATGGGGAAGCCAGAAACTCTGCCCAGTCTAGGCTGTGGCTGCTGCTTCAGGAGAAAGAAACAGCCGAGAGATGAGTCCACAGCCTCCCAAATTGCTGGTGAGGGTTGGGGGCCTGCAGGCTGAGCTTTACCAGGCCCAAGAAGACTCACAGCCGCCTCACGCCAGCAGCATCGGCTCCTGCGCCCACCAGGCCCCGTCCCTGTCCTCTCAGCGTGCGCTGGCCAGTTGGTCTCCTGGTTTGAAATGGCCCTTCCCCTCACAGGTGTCCCTCTGGCTCCATTATGGAGCCAAGACAGATTCTCCTTTGATTTGCCCAAAATAATCAGCCACATAAATCTGAAGGGCTGGTTGGATTTTTTCCTTGCAAATTTGTCTTCAAAAGTAGTTTTTCTTACATCAGTGGGGTGACAGGCTGACACCCCTTTGCAGTTAGAAGGGCTTATCATATAACCACAGTCCCTGGAACAAGTGAATCCACACTTGCAGCTTCATTTGTATCCATTTTACGGATTAAGAGACTTGGCCCAGAGATGGGCCCTGCTCACTCGCTGTACTCCTGGTCCAAGATGAGGGCCCCTGCTCCCTCCCTCCCCTGCCTCTCACTCCAGCTGCTTCTTCTCCCCACTCCCAGGCAGTGTTTCGGTGATGGCTTGAACTGGGCTGGCTGCTCCATCATCGTCCTGCTGGGCCAGCAGCGTCGCTTCGACCTGTTTGACTTCTGTTACCACCTGCTAAAAGTACAGAGGCAGGACGGGAAGGATGAAATCATTAAGAATGTGGTAAGCAGCTCGTGGCTGGGGCCTGGGAGATGGGGCCAGGCCTGAAAGCAGGCGTTCACCTGAAAAGGAGGGTGAGCTGCTTATGGAGGCCAACACCCCACACTGCAGGTAGGTCCAATGACACTCAGCAGCCTTCTCCTAGGGGGACCTTCTCATAGGAAGCCATGAGTCACTTGCTCATAACCCACTGGGATGAATCAGGTCACCTGCAGGGCAGGGCTGGGCTCCAGACCTGAAATACACCCTCCCAGTGCCAGTCACAGTCTGCTGATGCTGCTTCCTCATCTGCACAAACTTTCACTCAGTGCGAAAGTTGTGCAGGCGCCAGGATGGGAGAAGCACTGTCATGGGGTAAGCAGGGCTGCTGTGGGAGCATCAAGAGGGCTGTCTGAACCTGGCTGAGGCCTCCGGGAAGGTTGGCCAGGAAAGGCTTCCTGTAGCGGTGATGCCAGGGCTAAGTCCAGAATGACCAGCAGCAAATAGCCAGGCAGAATATGGGGTGAAGGTTGGGAGAATGTTCCAGACAAAAGGAACAGCCAGAACAAAGGCACAGAGGCGTGAAGATGTATGGCTGGAACAAAGGGTGAGTCTCCGGGACCAGCTGAGAGGAGGAAGAGGCAGAAGCCACCTCATAAAGGATTTTTTTTCCGTTATGGTGGAATATATATAACAAAATTTGCCATTTTAACCAATTTTAAGGATACAGTTCAGCGTCGCTAGGTGCACTCACATTGTTGTGCAGCCATCACAAACATCCTTCTCCAGTACTTCTGCATCTTCCACGTCTGAAACTCTGTACCCGTTAAACAGCTCCCCATTATTCCCTCCTCCCAGCCTTCGGTAACCACCCTTCTACTTTCTGTCTCTATGAATTTGACTACTCTATGTACTTCAGATAAGTGGAATCCTATAATAATTGTCTTTTTGTGACTGGCATATTTCACTTAGCATAATGTGTTCAAGGTTCACCATGTTGTAGCATGTGTAAGAATTTCCTTCCTGCTCAAGGCTGAATAATATTCCATTGTAGATATATTACACTCTGTTTATCCCTTCATTCGTTAATGAACACTTGAGTTGCTTCCACTTTTTGGCTCTTGTGAATAATGTTACTATAATCATGAGTGTACAAATACCCGTTCGAGTCACTGCTTTCATTTCTTTTGGGTGTATACCTAGAAGTTGGAATTGCTGGATTATTTGGTAATTCTATTCATTTTTGAGGAACCAACCTACTGTTTTCCATAGTGGCTGCACCATTTTACATTCCTACCAGCAATGCACAAGAGTTCCAATTTCTCCATATCCTTCCCAGAATGTATTATTTTCTGGGTTTTTTTGATAATAGCTATCCTAATGGGTGTTAAGTGGTATCTCATTGTGGTTTTGATTTGCATTTCCTTAGTGATTAGTGATGTTAGCATCTTTTTATGTGCTTACTGGCTGTTTGTTTATCTTCTTTGGAGAAATGTCTATTCAAGTCTTTTGCTGACTTTTTAATTGGATTGTTTGTTTTTTGTTGTTGTTGAATTGTAGGAATTCTTTATATATTCTGGATATTAATCTCTTATCAGTTGTATGATTTGTAAATATTTTCTCCCATTCCATGGTTTGTCCTTTCACTCTGTTGATGATGTCCTTTGATGCAGACAGGTTTTTAATTTTGATGTAGTCCAATTTATTTTTTCTTTTATTACCTGTGCTTTTGGTGTCATATCCAAGAAGTCATTGCCAAATTCAATATCATAAACCTTTTCCTCGATGTTTTCTTCTAAGAATTTTATAGTTGTAGCTCTTATGTTTAGGTCTCCAAACTATTTTGAGCTAGTTTTTTGTATATGATGTAACATAAGGATCTAACTTCATTCTTTTGCATATGGATATCCAGTTTTCCCAGCACCATTTGTTGAAAAGACCATCCTTTCTCCATTGAATGTTCTAGGCACCCTTGTCAAAAATCATTTGACCGTATATGGAAGAGTTTATTTCTGGGCTGTCTATTCCATTGTCTATATGTCCGTCTTCATGCCACTAGCACACTGTTTTGATTCCTGTAGCTTTGTAGTAAGTTTGCAAACTCAAAGAGTTTTATCACCAAGTTAACATTTGATTGCTGACCTCTGAGAACCCATAGAAGGCCTTTAAGCAGGAGAGTGACATGATCACTGAAGCATCAGCACCCTGGACCACACCCTCACTGAATTCTTCTCTTGCTCTTGATTTATTTCTCTATCCCCTCCTCCCACCCCTAACCTGCTCCTCCCTGTCCTGCTACAGCCCCTGAAGAAGATGGCAGACAGAATTAGGAAGTACCAGATTTTGAACAATGAGGTTTTTGCCATCCTGAATAAGTACATGAAGTCCGTGGAGACAGACAGTTCCACCGTGGAGCATGTGCGCTGCTTCCAGCCCCCCATCCACCAGTCCTTGGCCACCACCTGCTAGGCGGAAAGTCCTGCAGACCCTCAACCTGGAGAGGGAGAAGAAGCAGGAGAGAGAAGGCCACGGCCAGCCTGCAACAGGGTCCGACTGGACAGCGTGTGGGATGGACCTAGAAGCAAACAAGAACCTCCCCAAACACATCTACACCCAAGGGCTGGGCCTGTGCATGCTCTCCCATGACATCTCCATGGTGGTTTTTCCATAGTGTAAATGAAAAAAAAAGAAAAGAATTGGCAGTATGTGCTTTTTTCTTCTTTTTTTCCTCAGCTGTGTTAAGAGCCCTAGTTTCACCCTTTCTTCATCTCATGGCCCCACCCCACATCCATGGTTGTTTCCCAAGATGTGACCTCCTGCCCGGTGCCCACATGTAACCCCAGGACTGAAGTCTCAGAGATCATGAAAAGGGTGTGGCCATGCCATAAAATGTCAGCTTGGCCTGATGGGCATGTGTCCACTTTCTGGCTTCTTCACCTCCTGTGGCTCCCTCCCTCCAGTTCCCCAGGTGGCATCTCCTCCTGCTCTGGATACCAGAGATTCTACTGCCAAGAGTACTCCTGGACCAGACACTGAGCCATAGTGTACAGAGAATGAGGTTCCTGGTATTGGTGCCGTGGTAGATGTGTTGGTTCTGGCCTTCCATAGAGTCCCAAAAACCACAGGGCACTCCTAGAGAACTTCGAAAGGCATTCACAACTGTATCTCACCGAGTGAAACTGGGGTAGGAAGATGGTCAGGCCTGCTGTTGAAGCAGTATTTATGAACACAGCCAGGAATTCCATGGCCCCAAAGAGAAAGCTCTTCAGCCGTCTTATCAGCTTGATGGTGCGATGGTCCTTTATTCATTAAGCAAATACTTAGTGAGCACCAAGCCACATAGGGTGATGGACACTGGGGATGCAGCATTGAACAAGTCAGGCATGTGTTGCCCACAGCATTAGCTGGCGACCAAATTAGGGACCACCTCTTTGCCCAGACTCTCTCATCAAGGAAAACTCCCATGAGAAAGAAAATATTAAGGAGTTATTTTAGCAGAAGCCAGAAATATCTTGGGATCAAAGAGGTAAGGGGTATAAATAATATTTGTCAGTGAGTTCTTAATACTAAGATACTCCCCCAAAGAGGAGTCCTGTTTTAGTGAATCAGGACTTTCATTGTCCTAAAAGATTCTGAGGACGTTTTATCTTTTGCTCTCAATTTCCTTAATGTTCCTTAACTTAGATTTTGAGGTATGCAGCATATCTCACAGGGACAGTCTACTTCCATTTCCCAGACTGAACCAGAATTCCTTGCAGAATCTCCCACTAAGCTTAGGACGGAAGCCTTTGGGAAGTGAATGTCTTATTACAGAGCATCTCATCTTCAAAGGGAGTCTGTGACCCTGAGCTTGTGAGAACATATAAAATGAGACATTTGATATTTCTCCCCAGCCAAGGGAGGAAAAGAAAATAGAGCAGTAATGGTCCCCTCCCTCAGGGAAGATGAACGGAAATGGTTGCTATTAACCAGATGGCCCGTTTTAACCCCATGGAAAGAGCATGGAAGTGTCCGTAGTAAGAGATTTGTGTAATGTATTCATGCACAACAGGGAGGAGAGAGAGGGGGATCACCAAGTGTGGTCCAAAGGCCACCAACATCAGGACTTCCTGAGATTAGCACATCTGAGGCAGATTCTCGTGCCCCACCTCAAACTCACTGATTGTGCGTCTCTTGGAGTAGGGGCAGGAAATCACTTTCCACAAGCTATCAGAGTTATTCTGTTCCACGTGGACGTCTGAGGACCACAGCTATAGAGGTTCTCTCCACTGCTAACCTTGGGCTTTGAGCTCCCTCTGAGCCATGAAAGAAAATATTTGTAGGGAAGGAAAGTGGTTCGGAGTGGAAGCTGGCAGATCCTCCTGTCTGGAGCTGCCACTTCCTATTCTGACTTCTTATCTTTTCCCTGTTGATGACCATAGATGTGTCCCAAAGGCCAAAGGGAGAGTTACAGCACATGATAGAAGTGCACAGTAGAAAATGCCTTCAAAACCCGCATAAAACCTCTCAGCTCCAGAGCCTTCTAAATCTTCAGTCCTGTCTGGGAACAGTAGCTCTTTCAGATAGATGACCAGCTCTTCAGTCCTAGAGTTCATTCCAAATCCTTGACCATTGCTTTTGTGGAGATTTGCATCATCCATTTGATGAGATTGCTATTTCAAGAACAACCCACCCTCCCGCCCTGCATTCAAAACCTTGAGTTTGACGTCTGGGTAGAATCCCATTATCCTCAAGAAGCTTAATCCCAATAAATTGAGGTCTTCACCTTCTGGAGGGAGACATTTCATTTCCCTGACTCGCCAGCAGCATTTATTTAGGAACCCCGACTACATTTAATATTCTTTCCTTCTTGGTATTACTGCCCCAGTTTTGATTTTTTGTGTGTCTTAAGAACCAGGAAAAAAAATCTTAGGTTTTAAAAAGTTAAAAAAAAAAAATCTGTTTCAGAAACTGTCAAATGTACCATATTTGTATTAAAAGTTGGGGATTTTTGTACAATGAATTTACATTTATTTATGGTGACTTATATTTACGCTTGTGATCAAATAATGATGTTAAATTCTTAAATCGTATTTGCTATGCAGCTGAAGATGATATTTTGCTTTGTATTTTGGGGTACCTGTGTTGAGTTGATAAACATTTCCATCTCCATTAAAACTGCTTCCAAACTAGTGAAACCAGCGTCTTGGTCTTGATTCTCGGTCGTATTCCAGTCCTAGCTGATCTGTGGGCCACGTTAAGACTAATGACTAAGGAAACAATCTGAAAGAGAATGGGAGGAGATGGAGATAGAGCAGATCAGTGCATCCCAGATGAATGGTTTGTTTTGCTTTCTCACTGAGGGAATTGCCTCTTTACAAATTGATGTGCACTGGGCAAGATTTAGGAGATGCTTCCTGCGCTTAGGGATTTCACAGTCTCGCTGAGTAACTCAACACCCTAGGTCTCCAGTTTTAAGAGGAAGAATAGGAACTAGTATTTAATGAAGCCTGATGTGTGCAGACATGCTAAACCCTATTCACCCATTCCTTTGCATCAACCGCAGTCACTGTATGTGTTATATCCTCACTTTGACGAGAGGCTGTACCGTGTGTTTGTTTTCACAGTTAGTAGGTGACAGCTGGGATTTCAACCCAGTTCCAAAGCCTGGCCTGTTGCTTTCACACTATAGTGAACTGATCAGCCAGCCTAGACCCCAAAACTAGACTTAGGGACTTGGTCACTGGACTTTTCAGTCTTTGGGTCAATAAGATTGAGCGGAGCCTGGTATCCGAGAGGCCCAGCATGGTGGCTGGGGAGTTCCCAGGCTGACGGTTCCTTGTCAGAAAGGATGACACTAGAAGAACCCAGAAGGGTGTGTTTAAAACCAGCTCCAGTGCTTGGAGCCTCATTTCACACAGCATCAGCTTTCCTGAAGACCATCCACAGAGATAGTCTAGGCCATTAGTGACTCCCCCACTGCTGTGGCCTGGGCAGCCCTCTCATCTCTCAGGCCCTCGGCTTCCTCATCTTCAAGTTGGACAAAGTAATCCGAGCTCCCTTCCAGCCCTTATATCCTGATTCTAGGTAATTTCTCAGTCGTTTTCTTCGAGGGGCCTGACTGCTTTACAAACTCAAAATCTTTCCAGCCACGTGTTACCACCTCCAAAGATTCTCATCATTAGAGGTCATATATTTGACCTAATGTAGTTGGAGGACTGTTAATCCTGAGAGATGCTCAGTGGTCAAATAAATTTGGGGAACACACCATGCGCTTTCCCCTCTTGGAGATCTGCGGCTTTGAGGAGCCCTGCGGAACCTAATCAGCCTGGAATAACACCACATCTCCTAGTGGCCATGACCTCAGAAACCACTTTCTCTGCAACACTAATGACCCTCTCCTGGAATGTGCTTTGAAAAGCACTAGGCTAAGGACATGGAAGTCCATTTTAAGATATTAAAAAAATTCCTACAGAAAGACCACTGGACGTGCAGGCAGTCATGACACCTGGGCACAGTTAGGGAAGCAGGGACCTGGCAAAGTACTGAAGGATTTCAGATGGAAAGGAGAAGCATTTTCATTATGGGAGAGAATAGGGTAGGGGAGCATATTCGTTTGCTAGGGCTGCCATAATGAAATACTACAGACTAGGTGGATTAAAACACCAGAAATTTATTGTCTCAACAATTCTGGAGGCTAGAAGTCCAAGATCAAGGTGTCAGCAGGGTTGGTTTCTTCTCAGGCCTCTCTCCTTGTCTGATAGATGGCTGTCTCCTCCCTGTGTCTTCACCTGGTCTTCTGGGTGTGACAGTGTCCTAATCTTCTCTTATAAAGAGTTGAGTCATGTTGGATTAAGACCCATTCATATGACCTCTTTTTACCTAAATTACCTCGTTAAAGCCTCTATCTCCAAATACAGTCCATTCTGAGGTACTGGGGTTTAGGACTTTAATTTCTGAATTTGGAAATGGGGGGAACACAATTCAGCCCATAACACTGGGGAAGAGGAAGGATACATTTGAGAAAGATGCTGTCTCTGGGGACCCTGGGGTGCCATTGCTTTGAGAAATACTTCTTGAATACTGAATATTTTCACGCTTGCAAGATTCTATATAAGATTAAAAATTAGTCATGGCACAGACCTAAAGGAACTCATGAAATCATGGGAGGGGTAAAAAATGCATGCAGTGAACTAGAGTGTGAAGGAGACTATGGTGATCGTAATAATCACTAGCATTTACTGAGCTTTCTCCATGCCAGGCATCAGAAAAAGTGCTTCAAATGCTTCATTCATTTAAGCTTCACAGCAGCATGTAGGAGGTAGGTGCTGTTATTTACCCCCATTTTGCAGATGAAGATACTGAGGCACAGCTCTCACAGATGGAGAGTCCAAGTGCAATAAAGGTTTGTGGATGCTGCCACTGATCCCTGGGATGAACCCTGCTTGGAAGATGTAGGTAAGAGAAAAAGGGCAAGCCTATGATAATGGCACTTTTAGCCAAAATTCCAGGAGGACTTTTTTGTGCCATGTACAGCATATAGCTTGAATTTGTTACTAGAAGATGTGGTTACAAGAGTGTCTCTAATGATGTCACCATTTTTGGAACATAAAAGATTATGTGTAATATGGAGCTGTTCAAAGAGCATTTGATGGAATGCATATCAGATTTCACATTATAACCACTTTCTGACGCTCAGCGGAGTTGCTGACAAAATGCTGTTAAAGTAATTAGATTTAATTTAGACAAAGTAAAAGATGCACTAAAAGAGTTAAATAAAATCACAGAAGATCCTCGAATAAAGTGAGTTGTGGTCCTGAGGGAAAATAAAATTAATTTTGAATTTACACTAACTATAGCTATTTGGTAGGAACTAGTGTTTACTATTCACATTACAAACAAAGGCATTTAAGTTTGTCTAATTTATTTTAAGAATAATTAAATATATTTTTACAAATTTTTACATATTTTTTTACAAATTTTAGAGAAACTGACTTTCCTAAATGAAAATGCATGTGAAATATACAACAAAATGAACTTCCAATAAAATATAAAGAAATTGAAACAGTAAAACAAAAATATTTTACATGACTAAGGAGGAGAAGAGTCACATACAAATAATTCCAAAGTAACATGTTTACAAACTACTTTTTGGCCATTATAGGTCAAAGTAAAATCTTGATTAGAGGAGTTCAGAACAAATTGAGCCACATACTGCTTTTAGGGAGGTTTCCTTATAAATCCCAGAATTGAAGAATTTGAAAGAATAAGAAATACCATATGCTCTAGATACTGCTTTATGAGACAGTGAAAATTGTCATATAAGGGATATTTATATAAATGATTTATATAATAAAATGAATATTTGTAATATTTTCTGTAATAACAATAATTGTATGTGACCCCAGTACAGTGGTTGAATGTAACATGGTTCATTTCTGAATTTAAGTGTTGCTTTAAAAATCTTATTGATAGTTTCAGATTCTACCCCTTAGCAGAATTTCTTCAAATTGAAATTAATGAAAAAACAACTAAGAGTTACAATGACTCAAGAAAGGTTGTCTAATTTGGCATTACTGACAACAGAACACAAATTATATAAAAATCTTGATCAGGGGCTGGCCCGGAGGCTCAGTGGTTAAGTGTGCATGTTCCGCTTCAGCGGCCCAGGGTTCACGGGTTCGGATCCCGGGTGCGGACATGGCACCTCGTGGCAAGCCATGCTGTGGTAGGCATCCCACATATAAAGTAGAGGAAGATGGGCTTGGATGTTAGCTCAGGGCCAGTCTTCCTCAGAAAAAAGAGGAGGATTGGCAAATGTTAGCTCAGGGCTCATCTTCCTCGAAAAATAAAAAAATAAATTTAAAAAAATTTAAAAATAATAAAATAAAATCTTGATCATAGCAGATCTTAAGTGTTCTTGCAACACCAAAAAAACCCAGTAACCATGTGAGTTGATGGATGTGTTACTTAAATTGATTGTAGCGATCATTTCACAATGTATACATCTATCAAAACATCATTTTGTACACCTTAAATATATACAATTTTTATTTGTCAATTGTATCTCAATAAAGCCAGGGGAGGTCTTGATTATGAAGCATAATGTTGCTAAAATGAAGTCAAGAAAGTAAAATTTGTGGTATAAATACATATTAACTTATGAATTACATATGTCTTTATTTTATCCAGTCTGAACATCACTGGCCCAACAACAGAACACCTAGAAATATGCAATGATAATTGAGTGATCTTTGGTATTTTTGCCAACTTTCAGTCATATAAAACCCATGACTTTACGTATGCCTTATTTTGTGTTATAAAGATACATTTTGTTGTCAGGAAGACAGAGCACATTTTGTAACAGTTTAGTAGCGTGATTTAGAACTTTTAATTATTTAGAGGCATATGGTATGTGGTACTTTTGTCCCAGACCCTGCAGATGGTGGGAGGGGGCTGGCTCTGATCCTGCCTTCAGTTTCCCTAATAAGCATAAAGCTGGAGGTGGGAAAGGGACAAAGATGCGTTTGCTTCCCTCTAGGCGAGAAGCAGAGTAACCAGCCCCAAAGCCAGCCCCCACTTCCCCATCTGGTTTGATTTACTCTGATTTCCTCAGTCTGAGCTCCTTCTCAGCCTATTCCCGCCATTCCCAGATGCTGCACCGTCTGGCTAGCCCGGAGCTTCCGGCAGAATGGGGAAAGAGGAGGGTTTCCCTGGGAAAATATGCTGTGAGATGCTATCAGAGCTAAAAATATGCGGCCCCTAAGCTCCACCTTCATTAGTCAGAAGAAAACCCAGGGATTTCTGCCTTCTGGAGTTTCAGACCAACAAGAACAGGGGAAATCAAAGAGCGCCTGATTGGGGCTTTTCTTAAACACTTCTTGGCAAGGATCCCAGCCCTGAGCTGGAGAAAGCTCACTGGGCTCATGCGTGACCGCATTGGTCAAGGGGCTGACTCTCAGCAGGGCAGCCTGGGGTCAGCCCATCCACGCCTACCGCATATTCTCATTTAATTTACTCCACCACCATCAGCATTCCCTTTTTATACTTAAGGACCCAGACTCAGAAAACAATAGAAGTTAACCATACCACTGGCTTATTTCAGTTCATCCTGGGGCCCCAGGCTCCCCCTTGCACCGCCAGAGGCTCACACCTGCCAGGAACATTCGCCCCCCCAACCCCACTCACCTCCCTGTCT